TGGGGCGGGCGCGGGGTTAGAGTGGGGTTGGGCGCAGATCAGGGTAGTAGTGGGTTGGGAATCGGACCAGGATGTGCAACAGATCGAGCCCAGGATGGGTTCGGGACTGGGCCTTGGGGGTAGCGGTTCTGCGATCGGGGTCGGGTTGGGAGTTGGATGGGTCGAGAGAGAAGTCGGGAATTGGGTAGGGGCGGGGCGGAGTGAGGATGAGATGAGGCAGGGACCGTGATGGGGCAGGGAAGTCGACTATGCTGATAACGGGATGGGAAGGGAATTAAGAAAACGGATAGTACGGGGATCGGAAAGGACGATGTTGGGAGATGGTGCGTGGAGATGGGACGGGATCGTGGATGTAGCAGATTCAGGTTGGGTCTTGAACCGTAATAGGATGGGGTCGGGATTGTTTAGTGGGMTCGGGATAGARACGGGGGATAGTMTCGAAGCAGAGGGTGGGGTGTTGGTGGGATCGGTGTCGGGGTAAGCCCGGGTCGGAATGGGGATGGGTTTGGGGCAGGACGGGGATGGGAGAGAGAGTTGGATGGGGTTCCGGATTGGAGTAGTATGGGGGCTGAGTAGGGGTATGGACGGGAGTTTAGTATTTCAGTGCCAAGAATACATTAGGCGAGAGCCACAGTCCCGATATTGGGGAAGAGACTGGTAGATTTTGGACGAGATAACTGCCTGAACTTGAGTGTGCCTCCCGAACAGCTTCGGGTTGTTTGTCGCTGTAGTCCCGAGGGCGTGGTGGATCTGTTCCGTCCGATGGCAATAAGGTACGTTCCGACTAACTTTATTCTCTTTCATCGACTCTTCCCGAGCCCTCTTCGATACCTCTTGCCCTCCGTTCTCTTCTCCTTGTCGGCTTCCTTGTCTGGTTGTTCTTGAGGACTTGACACTCGCTGTGGCCTTCCGACTCTTCTGAATCGGACGATTTCGCGAACTGTCTGCGTTGTCCTCGTTCTTCACTTGCCTGAAATAGTCTGCTTGTTGTTCTTAGGCCACTCGCCTTCCTCTCTTTTTCTCTCTCATTATTCGCCTTTGTCTCTTCTCCTTTCTCGCCTTCTTTTTTCGCCACCTCCTCTTCTTGATCTCGCTCACGGAATTATGCGTCCTTTCGAGTGTTCTCCTCTCCCTTGCCGAGTTGGTGTTTGAGTCTTGTCGAGTGTGGATGGTTGAGATGCAGACAATGATGACGGTGGATAGTTGTTTCCACTGGCTATGGTTGTCTCTCGCCACGCCCGAGGGCGTGGCTGAACTTTCCCTGCTTCGCATCCAGATGCGGGCGAAATTCGAGTGCTGTTCGAATTTCCGCGTGAACGTCCTGCCCGGCGCGAAGCGCCGTGGTAGAATCGCTGGGAGTTACCGGGCGCTGGTCGGCGTTTAGCGCTAACCTTCGGCGCTTGCGAAAAAAAGCGCCGTGGTAGAATCGCTTGGTCTTCCAGCCGCTAATACATTCTATATTCCCCTAAACACCAAATGACCCAAAACGAATGCCTACAACCTGCACGCTCCGTGACTACAGTTCCCTGCCATGTCCCTCCTCGCAAGTTCTCCGAGTGCAATCCCTATTCTGCCATGTCGCCTTTTTTGTTTCTCTGGAAAATTGGAAATAAAATAAAATAAAAAAAGGAATGACTTCAAAAAAACAAAGAGTCTGAGGGGATTGGAATGGGCCGACTGGCCATGGAACTTCAGATAACGGAGTTTTTTTTTTTTTTTTTTTTGAACTAAGCTATCTTCTTCTCTCTTTTGTTTTTCCACCTCTCGCTAGCTACCTACATACTTCGTGCTATCTCACCCCCACATATCATGTCTATAGACTCTATACACTGAAAGGCAAGCTTTATCTATGCACCGAAAAGGGAGGCTATGTCTATCTGCTCTACTCTACGCAGGGAGAAGTACCTACGCTCCTAATCCCCAGTGAGGGATGGCAAGGGCAAGGGTGAGGAAACCCAGACTGCTGCCAAGGCCGGCCAGAGAGGGGCAAGCCACCTATCTTAGCTGGTTAACACCAAGCCCGCCGCAGGCAGCCGTGGGGGATTGAACCCCCAACCTCCTGAATACCACTTGCATGCTCAACCAACTGAGCTAGGCCGCTGGCCTGGGTACTCTATGTCTTGTTTCCCTTTGGTCTCTTTTTTTTTTTTAATTATTAAATGGAGAGGAAAGGAATAGAAAATATTGTTCAAAGTTCGAACCGAAGATAGAGTTAGGGCTATCGTCATTGAGCGACCACTTGGCTTTGGATTGACCAATCATTGGACCACTGGTGAACTGTCGGTGAACTGTCGGTGAACGGTCAGTGAAATATCCCATCGATTCATGACAATAAAATGATCACTGAATCCTCCTGGCACCTCTGAACTATGAATCCCCCCCGGAGGCGGCCATGCGCGGCCTAGGCCGCTAACCCGCGGCCATGAAAAAAAAAAAAAAAAAAAAAAAAAAA